CCTTAACATTTGGGACTATGGTGTGACATAATGTATAGATACCATGGATTTATCATGGAAGAATTTTACTGTGTACGAATTTTTTAATTATTATTTTTTTTCGGGGACAGTACAGTTGTGAGTGTGTATTATTCTGGGTTGTCATGTGCCTTCCATGAGTTTTGGAAGGTAGACATTTTTATTCATTTGCAAATTACCTTAATGTAGTTATATGCATTTTTTGCTGATTTACCACATACATTTTATGTCTCAACTGAGACGAAATGAAAGCCTGTGTAAATGTATGATGAAGAAGACACATCTGGCGCACACATGAAAGGCCATGAAGACTCTAAACCTCATGACCTTGTGTCTGTAAATATCTGCTTCTATTTCTGTCCAACACTTGTAAAGAATTGGCAATTGAGTTGGATTGGCCACATGAAAAATTCTAAAAAACAAACAGTGAGGCCCAGCATTCAGAGGATGTTAAACACAGAGCCTCCCACTTGCAGCTGCCTGGTATTTTTCTGGCTGTTAACTAAGCTAATAGTTGCTGTAGTGTGCGTGGCAGTACTGAGGAGTACAATGATTGGTTTTCTCAGTAGATATTAAGTAATTTCTGAAAATTAGCCAGTCTCAAGTTGTTCTTGCCAAAATAATTAGTAAATTTCAAAGTTAACACAATACTGAATCCTTTAATATGCTGTATTATATTATTATATATTATAACAATTAATTTATATTATCATTGAATTATGGGACTGTATGGCAATAAAAGTTGAACCATGATCTGATCCACAGGATTTTGGTGATATTGGGTCAGTGTGCTTCTCTGCTTAATGTAACACAGACACTTCCCCACCCACTCCTGAGTTATGACTCCTGTCTGTTATGCACCGAGCAGTATGACAGTATGACAAAAAAAAATATGATGTTAGAGCCAGATTGCAATTTAGATTAGATCACGGTTCATGTTTTCTTAGTATATTTTATACAGTTTAGAGTTAAGTAAAGCTATCTGCTGAAAGTTTATTCTTCTCTGTGATTGGTTATATCCACTTTTCCCTCATTCATAGCATGATTGAAACTGAACAGTTAGAGGGGTAGGTGGTGGAAAGTGCATTAAACAAAATATCTGGGAACCACAATATATAGCAATTGTAACAAAATAGCATATTAACATAGGGATCACAATTAGATTTTTATTGCCATATTGCCCAGCCTCATATTATATTATTACTTTTTGTTTTGTTTGCACTAAATTGCCAAATCACAAGCATAGTTGACAACTGCAATAATGACTTTTTGATTCTGACCTGTATTCCTCTGCTATAAGCTTTGTTCTTTTTGCCTTTTACCCCAGTAAGTATTTTGTTCCAACACTTGTTGGATCTTATAGGGACTTAGGTTAATTGGATTGCATTTAAAGTTTGGTTCAGTATAGATTGTCTCCCAACATTTTACTGGATGAACTCCCACTGTGCATCGTCATGGCAACACTGACAGCCCACCTCTGCTGAGAGAGGAGGAGGAGAGCATGAGGAAGAGGAGGCAGAGGATGGAGAGAGAAATAAGAAAGAGAAGAAAGAGAGGAGGTGCTGCTGGAGGCTCAGAGAGGGCAGGGGGGATAAAGTGACAGAACAGAGACAAAAGAGTGGGAGTAACCATGGTCTGGTTATGCCAAATGCATGAGAGGAAGAGGAGTGTGACTGAGGAAGAACAACAGGAAAAACTAAAGGGTCCATTTACAGCCGGACAAGAGAGAGTAGGTGGTACACAGTAGGGAACGCAAAGCTTAGGCTAAACTCACAAGCAGCTTCTTCACCTCCAGTTGGTCTGAAGTATTTTGATACCACTACACCAGAATTATTAAAAAATATGATTGTCCTAAATGTTGAGATTTAAGTTTACTACTAGGATTAGCAATATTTTAAAATTATAACCAACTGAAGACCTGAACACAGCATGATAGAAATAGTAAATTGATGGATATGTTGTAAAAGGCCTATATTGCAACCTCAAAAATTAACCCCACTTTTGAGTTTTATTTATTTATTTATTTATTTTAAAAGATCCTTTAATATAAATACATTTGACATTTTGAACTCAACCCCAGATTTAACAACAAATGTATGCTTTCCACTCTAGAACATTTACCTCAGAAAATATATAGATTTTATTTCTCCCAAGTCTAAAACAGGCTTTTACTGCAACAGGATTGACTGATAAATTTGTCGATTTAAAAGCCCCAAGCTACTAATGATCTATGATTGATTCAGTCAGTACACAATTTCAATGTGATTAATTGTACTCTAACTGAGATACATTTTAGGGACAAAAACTCTTTGCTCTGCTAGGTGAGTTTTAATCACATGAGCCATTCTCTTGATATAATATACTTTACTGTAATCACAACAGTCACTGGGGTGGTCTGTTGTTGTAATTTCAACCTTGTGTCCGTGTCCCTTTCCTGACCTGCTGATGTGCTTATTGACTGTGCCTGGCTCTATTATATCATGATAACGTTGAGAAGGATTTTTCCCATATCATCAGAGTTGAGGTGAACTGTGTGCAGTGGCATACTACATATTTAATTTATGTACTATAGCATTTCAGATTACAATGCAGCTCTGCTTTTGTTCAATTTTGAACAGCCAGCAACAGAATGTGTTTGATGATGTGATAGTTTCAGATTGAAGGCAAAGGCCTATATAACTTTGGGAGATTTACTGGAAATTTTGAATCTTATCATTATTTGTTAGGGATTGAGTCCACAAACTTATTAGCTATTATTAAAAATATATAATTTCACTCCTTGTCAGCATAAATAACAAATACACATTTATGATGACAGAGGAGGCATTGAGTTTTGTGTCAGTTTTTGTGGCCTATCATGTGGATAGGCCCAGTAATTTCTGAGATATTATCTGTAAACCAGATGGTAGTTTAACGGTAGATTCTACCATTATAATGTTTTGTAGTCATATGAGTGCAACTTAAGTGTCAAGTACTAAAACATACATTTACTTTTCTTCTCATTCAATAGCCAAAAAGAGATTTGCTTAGAACTTGTAATATAACTATAATACACTGTGCTCAGAGTTTTTGGCCCACATAAATAACGGCATGTATTGTAAGAGGTTAAGTGGAACACTGATACATCATGAACATTTTGGTTTCAACCAAATTTTAGGGATGAGCATTAAAGCTTGTGATCCTGTGTGCTTTTAGTAGATTAGGACTCACTCACTAATGATGCTCTGTGACCCCTCTGTCTGAGTGTAATACACTGGCCATTTGGAGCCATTTGGAGACTGTAAATGACAACACACAGTATATTGCTCACATGTAATTTTAATTACTCATCAATTATACAATAAATTGAAGTCTGTTCTTTATATTTAATACTAAAAACCTGTCAAAATCAAATTGTTTAATATTAAATTAAATATTTTTACCTTTTTTGCGAAAATAGTGGTTTTATTTAGCCCTGTCACATAACAAATTTTGAAGCATGATTAATTGCTACAGAGAAATATTGCGATAAATTATAATACTGAAAATACTTTACGCCACTGATACAAAATAAAATAATCCCAGTCCCCGCAAAGAAAAAGTACCCACAATAAATATTGAGCCCCAAAATATTTTGTTCCAGCTTTCATATGTTGAACGATAAGAAGATATAAGATGTAATTATCGTGACAAGCCTAGTCTCAATTGTATTTTTAAATATTACACTTCTTATAATTTAATTTTTTTCTTATACTGTGCCTTTGAAGTGTTTTAATTTAAAGTGCACAGTTGTTCACAGCCAGACCAGATTGTCAGACCTCTCTGTACTTGCACTAATGGACTTGCTCTGCTACCATGTCCTCAAATGTCACTGGGCAGAAAATAATTCAAATCTACATAAACTATATTGATTATGTACTATACAGGTGTGTGCTATTCCCTGTCCCGGTTGGGGTTATGTCCAGTCACCATACGTCCTTGCGTTTATGCTGTTGTCACCCACGTGGCTCTATTTTTATCCCGTGAGACGTGGATGTGTGCGCATGCATGTCACCGCGCGTGTCATCAGATTACGGTGGGTGTGTAAGTGGACTCCTCTTTGTCCTCTCTGATCATTTTAGACACAAGGCCACTGAAACTTTCAACAGGGGTTCAGATATTCCACAAGACCTTTTCCACTCACAAATAATTATGAAATCTCATCTTATTTATTTTAGGCACACACAATATATAATTTTCTAATTTCTCAAGTACTGAAAAGGAGTAAATTTACTGTTATCTGTTAAACCAAGTGTGGCGTCATTTCATCTTCAGCTTGTGTGTGTAAGTGCATCTGAGGGAAATGTGAAGAGTGCGTGAGGGCGAGTGAGAGTCAGTGAAACCCAGTGAGAGAGTCGTCCGCTGACTCATCTCGTCTCTGTCGCTGATCACCCCAAAGTGCTGCTGGCACCAGCCTCTCCAAGCTGTTCCCAGTTCCTGTTCACCAACTTCTAGAGCCTCTGCGAGGTGCTCTCATAAAATTAAATATTAATTTATTGACTGAGAGTAGAACATTTGAACTGTGAGTGGTATTGACGGATGATGATTGTGAAACATACTATAGTACTTGTTTGGGCATCCATATGCTCTAATGTAGGGATCTCCAACCTTTTAATTCAAGTGAGCTACCTTTACAAAATGAAAATACCAGATAGCTACTCATTTTAGCGGTCACAAGAAACTGAGTATATAAAAGAGAACCGGCCTTAGATGGAGAACAGTCAGAGGCCTATAAAAAATAAACCATTTATTGCTGCACAAAGATAGCCATCAAAATGATGCATTTACAATGGTAGCCATTTAATTGACTAAAATTGTGCCATTTCACACAATGCATATAATTCAGAAATCTCTTGGAGAGGTACATGGAAGGGGATGGAGAGCTACTTGTAGCTCCCGTGCTACAGGTTGGAGACCCCTGCTCTAATGTATATCTGTTTTTTTTGGTGTTTTTTTGTTTTTAGGAAAGCCATCTCTCGCTCAGGACTCCAGCACCTGGGACCACCCCACCCTTCACTGCCCCCTGCCTCCAATGGCCCCAACAAAGAGCTACGCACCAGTGTGGACTGGACGGTGTGTTATTGCATAATAATATGAGCACCCTCACATAATGTAATGAATCTATATATACATGTAAATGAGTTTAAGGTACTTGAGATTTGATGTGGTTATCCTAGTTTATGGCTGAATCACTGCACGATGACTCAAACAGATTTGTCAACAGGCTGTATAAGCCGTATGTTCAGGTGGAAATGGAAAGACATTATTCTGTTTTAATTATTGGTGGTGAAGAACACTGATTCAGCTTGGAGCTTGGAGAATATATTTTTTGTTGTTTTCGCAGTCAGTCAGCACTATTTATTCAATTAATCACTGTTTCTAAAACAAAGAATAACTATGAGCTGCCAACATTTCTTTATTAACAATAGACTCATGAAGCTCATGAAACCATGCTTCTATTTTTATTTAGTAGAAACAAGAAAGACTTGGCCCTGGAAAGAGAGAGTATCGGATCCAAAACACCAAACAAAGAGCAAATCTAATTTGGAGATGACTTTTGAGTAGGGCTTAACTTAGAAAGTCAGTGTAACAGCTTTTTTTTTTTTTTTTTTAAACTCTTGGTTAAACTGACTGTTCAAATAAATTGCAAGATAATAGATGGACCTTAGCCATTATGTGGCTTTATATAATACATATTCCCAAATTGGCAGATTCTGCGGTACAGATGCATAAATGAATAGTACATAGTAATAATCAGATGGAGCCCCTCAGAGGTGTCTGCAGGAGCACTTCCACCACGTCACTGCTGGCCTTCAGCTCTCAGCACGGTGCACTAATACACTCATAAAATCATCCCACCTAATCTCTAATGAATATGCATTATAGATATGGTTTGCCCTCAGTCCCATCAATATTTAAGTGATGAAAAGTCAGTTTCTTGTCAATTTTATGATGTCCTTTCTGTCCATGTCACTGCTAATCATCATCTGTTTTATAGAATGCAGTGATGCATGTTAATTAGGCTTGCATATTGCATCATATATTTGTAGTGTTTTGGTGTAAGGAAAAAAAAAGCCAAATTTCTTCTGGTTGTTTATATTATGAATACAAAAGCTACTGTAGGCCATAGCCAATGCCAAAACTACGAGCAAAACAATAGCAATTTCAGCTCACTAGAGCCAGTCTCTATAATGACCAGTAACTGATGAATGGAACCTTCTTGGCAACCAAGTGTCACATAATATCAGAACACACAGATTATAATATAATGTTGGAAGTAATAGCAACTGCCAGATAACAGGGTAGAGGAACAACTCCTAAAAAGACAAATAAAAATAAATAAAATTCATAATGAAGACAGACGAAGATAGACTTTTAGGGTTACAATCCTCTATGATGTATTCTTGTTGTTAAAAGACAGATATAGACAGAATATCTTGACTATTTGCATCTTGCCTAGGCCTCTATAGTCTTCATTTAGTCTATGAATGTCTGATATGTAAAATTTACACATAATACATTAAACATGCATTTGTGGGCATGTGTATTTTTGTTTGAAGGGATACAGCTCCTGCAGTGTTTTGATTAGCGCCTTAGATTAACATATACTGTGAAATTACCTCCTACTCGATATTGATAATTATGTGCTTGACACATGCTCTTGACCGCTTTTGTCGTGAGTGTGTGTGTGCATATGGTTCACTTAATGTAATTGAAAATAATGCAACACAAAGGGATTGTTAAGGTGTTATATCATTATCTGATTGTGCAGGAGAACGCTGTGAATGGGGATCACCTGTGGATGGAGACCAGTTGTTCTGGAGAGATGTGTTATCTTGGAGAGGACTCTTGTCTACTCAAGACTGCGGTGAGTATTGCATACACAGCACATAAGAGGCAAGGGGCAAGGAGTTTCCTGTACAAGTCTGAATACAAGATTAAGAAAATGTTTATTGAATAAACAATAATAGGCAGCTACAAGAACAGAATTAAAACATTTCTTGATTACTGAGGGCATCTGGTGAATGTAAAGATAAACTACCCATACAAAGTCCTAGTAGTACTCCATTGTTGGAAAAAACTATATTAAAGAAGACACATTGTACTTGTGCCTGCTATATAGTTGTAGTCTGTGACACCTGTGGATCATTATGTTATAATTTCAACATTTTAAATTGCAATATTAATGTAAAAAGGACTTAAAAATAATAAAAGAAGCGTTAGAGCTGTGGTATTCATTGTGAGCAGACACCGCCGTAAATATCATCACAATAAAGAGACGTGAATTTGTCAGCATCTCCAATGGATGGCTGCACATCATGCTAGTAAACTTGGATTTTTTTTCATTTGTACCAAAATGACTATGTAATGCTGGCAAATCGTAAAATTATCACAGATTTAAAAAAAATTAATTTAGAGAATAAAATAAGTACAAAGCAGTTGCAGTACACTGGTAGTGGTAAAAACAGGACTTGATTGGCAAAATATTGTTTTGAAAATAAATTAAAGATAGTTCAAACATGCATGACTCATTCCAAGTACAACTTTGGGTGAGAATAGCTTTAACATGGTTAAAAGCTCTGAAAAGTCGATTTTGCGTAATAGATCTGCTTCAACATATGCATTATTCTTTTAGGTTTTCACCACTTCACTCAAATGTTTGCTCTGTAATTGGATGATTGATGATTTAAATGGGGAACTGTTGTTTTACATTGTTCAATTATTTTTGTCATATATGACATTGATATTGCAATACAAGGCACTGCTCTTTTCATATTAATTTTTTACAGTGATTCTTCATACCTTTAATGCTTTACTTCTTCTATTAAATATTTTATGCTTTTAAGCCTTGTACTGATTACTATTCCCTTTACATGTGAAGAGCTCAGTGTTGTGACTCATAAGCAGATATTTTTCTTCATACTGTTGACTTGGAGTGCTTTGGCCCTGAAAGAACAGCCTGACTTCTGCAGTCTTTCTATTCTGTGATATCAGTCACAGTCTGTGATGTCAGTCAGTGCTGATAACTTCTAGTTTGAAGATTACAACCTGTTTAGTAAGGGTCATGTGGTTCTAGAGAATCAGTGTTTGGATTTTCTTACTCCTATAACATCCTCTTATAGCTTTTGGCCAATATAAAAGCCCCATAGACCTGATTTTGACCCATATATTCTTGCTGCAATACATGTATATTGTATATGCAGCTCTTGAGGTCCACTGCATGTGGTCTGCAGCTTATTAGAAAGCGATTTATTGTCCAATAATCAGGAAGCGTGCGTGCAAGTGGTTGTTTGATGTACTGTCACGACAAAACAGTTATAAAAAGCACTTAAAAACTCAATGCAGTAAATACTCAGGATCTTCAAAATTCATACGGTTACTGGGGAATAACTTTGGACCACTTCAAACCTTTAAAATGAATTAGTTCTGTTTTCACTTTTTAGGACAGTAAAAATCTGATATAATGCCATTCAATTAAATTATACAAATTAATTTGATTATAGGCCTGCTCATTCATGTGTATTTATCTTATCTTTACCATTAAGAAACACAATGCAATTGGTAGTTTTCACACTGGAGGTCATTTATCTCTGTGAAATTAATTAGCCTTTATAAAAATAATCCTTAGACCTTACATTTTGCATGTGCTTAAATCTGTCTACCGCTTTCACACGCACCAAAGAAACCTCTGTAATTACTGCTGGTGGTAGCATTAAGATCCATATCAGTGATTTGTCGTATTGCCATTTGCAGGGGTCAAAGTTCAGTCCATCTGGACAAAAGCGGCTGTGATGTTGCATTTAGCAGATGACAAATAACATTTATTTCATAATTATGAGTCATGACTAAAGGGAAAAAAAATAAATGTCAAGGTCTCCATAAAAGACTGTTTTGTCTGGAGGAAGTATGAGCTAGCCCCGTATTTGTGCTCTTGTTTATTGTGTTGTCGACTGTACCTCACCTCCCTCTGCGCTGCTTGTCTGTTTTTCCTTTAAGAAGTCGGCCCCCAGAAGGAAATGTGCTGCTTGTAAGATTGTTGTCCACACCGGCTGTATAGAGCAGCTCGAAAAGGTAAGAAACATGCACATAGTTAATCCATAATTCCTCCCATTGTGAAACTGCCACATTGTTGTTCTTTAGCGGACTTTAATGTGTATGCCTGCAGTTGTTTGTATCGAGTTATTTGTGGAAAATAGATTTCCTGACAAAGTTTGTGATTCAATTCTCTTGTAACAAAATTAGGCCCAAGAACAAAGGTTGATGAGATAATAGTTGCCCCGTGAAATGTTTTCCTAAAATAAATGTCTCACTGAACCATAGGAGGTTATTGTACAAGGGCCAGTGAGTGACTTGCTAAATTAAGTATTTCATTTTTCACCACCACATGCCATGCAGTCAAAGCTTTTATAATAAAAGCTTCAAACGTCAGTGGTCCTTCTAAAATTTGATTTTTATTATGAAAAATGTTGTAAAATGTTTCAAATGCAATCCTATATTTGAAAGAGCAAAAAATGGCTTGCAGTCATATTAAAATATATATGAAATGCAGTCACTGATTTCAACATGGACATGAAGTCATGTTAAGGGACTTTTATCTGACAAGGTAACAGAGTGCCTTGGACATTCATAAGTCCATTTTGCACTAGTCTACATTTATGTTTTTTTTAAGAAATGCAAATAATTTTTTACTCTCTCAATGTTACTGAGTCCCTATCTGTTGTTATGGCTAGACCCTCGATGCACTTACCTGCATTCCAAATCACTAATTGCCTTATGAAATCTTTCTTTTCATAGATCAATTTTCGCTGTAAGCCAACATTCAGAGAGGGAAGTTCTCGGTGCATCAGAGACGTAAGTTACATCTCCACTGTTCTGCATCCATATAACAGTGTCACATAGTTGATTATACATAATTGTTTATTTTGTGTTCTGTGGAAAATGTGTAATTCTTTGTGACAGCAGAACGTCCTCAGACATCACTGGGTTCATAGACGGAGACAAGAGGGCAAGTGTAAACAGTGTGGAAAGGTAACAGTACAACTAAACTCATCTCATCCCTGATTCTAACAGTGTGTTCACTGTGTTATCTTGGTTTACAGAGTTTCCAACAAAAATTCTTTCATAGTAAAGAAATCATTGCCATCAGCTGCTCATGGTGTAAACAAGCTGTAAGTCTTGTTATTTTATTTTATTTTATACGATACTAAACTTGTTTTTAATAAAAAAAATTATTTTTGCAGTTCCACAACAAAGTAACGTGTTTCATGCTGCACCAGATAGAGGAGCCGTGTTCACTAGGGGCCCATGCTGGAGTCATAGTACCGCCATCATGGATTATCAAAGTCAGAAAACCACAGGTATACATACACTTCTGTATTGGACATTACTGATTTTTTTTTTTATTGCAAGTTTGTGCCAAGAGAGAAACAATAATCATATACATATTACATACATTGTAAACAACAGAAAAGCACATTTCTCTAAAAAAAGTGGGAAGAAGAAAAACATATATTAACCCACCCCCATTTCATTACATAGTTCCTAAAATAAAAAAAAAATATGTGGTTGCTGTACATTGAAAAAAAAAAATTACATATAGCAAAATAAATTACATACTATGCATACTAAATATAATTCTAATTCAATTTCTTTCTTTTTTTGTATTGTATTGTATTATGGACATACAAACTAGTAATAATGATAAAGAAGGGACATAAGTTTATCGTTTATGATCGTATCAAAATAAACAAAATGAGAATGAAGAATGTAAGGATTTTTTTGTTTTGTTTCCCATTTATGGTCATACAAACTAATAATAATGTTAACGAAGGCACAAAAGTTTATCGTTTATGATTGTACAAAATAAACTACAGTGAGATTGAAAAAATGTAAGGATTTGTTTTCGTTTATGGTCGTAGAAATTTATAATAATGACAAAGAAGCCACAAAATGTATCGTTTATGATTGTATCATAATAGAAGGTAATGTTAAAGAAAAAGGTAAAGAAAAGCATGTGTTTAGTTAATAGTAGTGGTTTACTTGTGAAGGCAATGGATCTAGTTTTCTACGTATTTCTGTAAGATTAGATTTTTATATTGTTTTTTGAAGTGAACCAAGTTAGTACAAGCTTTGATATTGTCATCTAAGCTATTCCATATGTCTACTCCACGTCTAGTAACACACATGCTTTTGAGAGGGGTGTGAGGGATTTTTTTTTTTTTATTCATTTGACCTCTTTTATTTATTTTATTTATTTATTTATTTTGCACATATAACATGACAATAAAAAGAAACGGACTACATAAAAAGTAGGTGCCGAAAGAGGCAAAAAACCCAGTAGGGCCTCCACCTTATGAATACATAAAAAATTGTACATTATCACTGTGCATTAAAAAAAAAAAAAAAAAAAAAAAAACTGGCTCCAGAATTTACAGCCTCTGTATCGTAGGCAAAACTGAGCTCTTGATGTGACAAATTTTAGAACATGAAAATTATGAATTTGACGAGTTTTGTATCTATGAATCTCTCCATTGGTTTTAAAATAAAATGTGAAATGTTTAGGGATTGTTGTTGAATTGTAAAGAATTTTATACATAAAAGTACAAATTTGATAAATATTAATCCCATAAATATTAAGAATATTAAGTTTGATGAATAAATGAACCTCTCAGGTTGTATATGAATTTATTTGTGCAAGACAGCTTTTGAATGTTATCTGGGAACAGGTTGAGTTTCACCTTAAATAAGATTTGGCATTTTTCAAATTTTACCAGGTCCCCAAATTTTAGTATTTTTGATTGGCAAAAAAGTGCATTCATATGTTCTCTATATCCGACTAAGTGAGGTATTCGTATTGCTTTTTTGGATTGCTTTTTTTTTTTTTTTTAATTCAAATAAGAAGTGTGTGTTACTTTAAAAAGAATTTCCCCAGACCTCTATACAGTAACTTAAATGGGGAAAGATAAGAGTACAGTAGATTGTATAGAGGGTTTTCTTATTTAGGAGAAATTTAGATTTGTTCATCAAGGCTATAACTTTTGCAATTTTGGTTTTAATTTTATCACTGTGGGGTTTCCAACAAAGTTAGTGATCAAGAGTTACACCAAGAAAAGTGTGGTGAAGTACTCTTTCTGTGGTTACATTATCAGTTTTAATTTGCATCTGTGGATTTATTTGACGGTTTCCAAAAAACATAGCTTTTGTTTTCATGATATTTAGAGACAGTTTGTTTTAGGCAAATGATACTTGTAACTTTGCAATTTTGTGTTTAGTCTGAAACGCTAACCTTTGAAGGTCTCCGCCTGAACACAGAACAATTTCAGTTTTTCAGAAACTACATACAAGTCATTTATATATAAAATAAATAATTTGGGGCTTAGCACACATCCCAGTGGCACACCACAAGCAATGGTATCACATGTAGATTTGTGCTGTCCCCATTGCACATACTGCTTTTGGTTTGACTCTATCCACTTTAGAGCATTCCTCTGATCCTGTATTTTTGTATCTTTTGTAAGAGTATGCTGTGGTCCATCATGTCAAAAGCATTCATTAAATCTATGAATATACCAATTGAATACTTTTTCTTATTCAATATATCAGTATTATTAGTTATCTCCTCTATAAATTCAATTAGCATATTTGTATAGTTTTAAAGCGTAAGTAAAGCGTAGGTGTAATTTCTAAGCATATACAATGTGGAGTCAGACAGACAGTCAATTGAGGCTACAGCATCACTGTTTGCAAACCTGGTTTGAAAGATGAGTGTTGGCAATTTGAGTGCTGAATAAAATCAGAAAAATGATGAGGATGAATTTTAAAAACACGGAGGAGTACTTCCTGGATTACCACCTAATGACATTAAATAATTATTCAGACATATGTGAAATAGGTCCCAACTCTATTCATGTTTTTTGATGAGGAAACACTCATTAAAGTATTTTTAGCAAAATATACAGGGGGTCCTTTAAAGGGTTGCCCCACCACATGAGGATGTTGACATTAAGTGACACAGATGTCTGTACAACATCTAAAGTCTATATGAAGAGTAGCCTAAACACACTTAAATTTCTGTATAATACAATTTGACACATAGTTTTGTTATGGGCATGTCTCTACACAGAGACATAGAGACGCCCGGAGTCACATCATATGCTTCATTGCACTTTTAATTAGCGTCACAAGGGACATGGCGACACTCAACTCAAAACTACGTGTTTGTCTGGTGGTGTGTGTCTCCTAGAGCTCACTTAAGAACTCTGCCAGAAGGAAAAAGCGCACATCTTTCAAACGAAGGACAAGTAAGAAGGGATTGGATGTAAGTAACACTATTTAAAACACATGTAAATGATTAAAACTTTATAATTACGAAACCTGGCATGTAATAAATGTATAATGAGTGAAACATATGGTATGTGGTAAGCCTAGTTGATCATATTATGTAATTACTAAACTAATTATAATTTCATTTTAAAGGAATCAAAATGGCGGCCATTTATATTGAAGCCTCTTCCTTCTCCTCTTATGAAACCTATTTTAGTTTTTGTGAATCCCAAAAGTGGTGGTAACCAGGTTGGTGACTCTTTGTTTTCAATATTAAAAATGTGTTGGTTATTTGAATAAAAAATAATAAAAAATCACCTTTATAGGGTGCCAAGGTTTTGCAGATGTTTATGTGGATCTTAAATCCTCGACAAGTTTTTGACCTGTCGCAAGGAGGGCTACGAGAGGCGTAAGTACTCTTTTTTTTTTTAAAGGAGTATATTTAATCAGTCTTTGTTACAAATACTAATTCATCATATGTTTTGTTTTCCAGGTTAGAGTTGTATAGAAAAGTGCCAAATCTTAGGATTCTTGCCTGTGGAGGTGATGGAACTGTAAGTGAACATGCCTTTGTAGTTGTTTGTAGTAGTATTCATCAAGACTGAAATATAAAAATATCCATAGGTGGGGTGGATCCTGTCTGCTCTAGATGAGTTACAGATGAACCCACAACCTCCTGTCGCAGTTCTTCCTCTGGGAACAGGAAATGACCTCGCCAGGACACTCAACTGGGGTGGAGTAAGTTTTGTGGTTCCCTTTTTGACACGATTTGCAAAAGGATGCTACACACACACACACACACACACACACACACACAAAGTACTCTCTGTACCTAAATGCTAAAATATCACATTGTAAATAAAAAATACTGAACAAATTTCGTATTATCTACTATGAATAATTGTTATTGGGTGTGCTACAGTGTCTCTGGGTGTCAATGAGGAACTCCACATCCACATTCCAGGAAGTCTACAGTGACTGTCTTCCTGTGTATCTCATACTTTATATTTTGACATGTAGGAGTCTTCACAGACATCCTCCCTTTGCGTTATGTTGATAGTACATACATATTTAACATCACATGTTTTAAACATAAATTATGGAATTAAGCTGGTGAAAATTGGGCATGTTGAGACAAAATGGTTGTGCTACTTTGAGGTCTGTATAGAATAAAGTCCCTCCTTGATTAAGGTTTTCAATGCTTTGTTGCCTGTAAAATGAATTACTGGTTTGCCAAAAAAACGCATCCATTGACACACATGCTTATTACATAACCACTGCATAAAAGTCTTTTCATACTCCTCCATCATTCTTTCATTAGGCTTTTCTTTACCTCATTTATGTAAGGTTTGAGTTATTATTCAGGGGTGCTGACTTTCAGACACAAATAGATGTAAAAATATTGTTACATTTGCAAAGTTCAACAACACAGTTTGCCATATCAGTGACAATATGCGTCTCAGAACTTAGTGACAAACTGGTTCAGAAATTTTAAGGAGATAAAAAAAAAACAGTGGTACCACCTGTCTCCATGTAGATAGTGAAGTTTAATTCCATACAGAAATACTATTTATGTGCTTTGAACAACTTGACAGAGAAAGAAAAAATGTGATCTTCTTGAATCTGCTGTGTGTGCCTTATGCAATCAGTGTAATTATCATGTCCTTTCTGTTTTGTTTTTTTTGTCTTTAGATTTGCAGTTTTATTTTTCCTATTCTTCTTTTGTTTCATTTCTTGAACACAGAGTTACTTAGCGCTGCATTTCCCCGCCTCTCGGGCTGTGAGCGTTTGTGTGAGTGTGAATGTCTCTGTGAGTCTCAGAAGAGGCCCTGCTGATGAGTGCTACTATCATCAGATTGTCGTCAGTCACTTACAAGTGTAGTCTGCAGTGCCTTGATTACCCAACCCTGTCAGTAGGTGAAGAAGAAAGACATATAAATATATAAAAAGTCAGAGAAATGTCACATGTTAAAATGATAAGAGTCTCAGTGTTTCCCACAGGCTTATGGCAAGACTATGGTTGCACAGGTAATCCTTATTTGAATAATTTTATTTAATAAAATTTTTAGAGTAAATATATCACTTGCCCCTAATATCCAAAAGATTCTGATTAAAGATTACATGGAGTTACTTCAGTACAACAAGCAAAAAGTAGCATTTTTAATACAAATTTATTCCTGAGTTTTTTTTAGACTATGAGGCAAAATTAGGCTCAGTCTCTTGATTTGTAGTCATAATCTAAATATACTTATAATTAATTGCGCATTTTCTTAATTGTTTAGGGGTACACAGACGAGCCTGTTTCCAAAGTCCTTGGTCACGTGGAGGATGGTTCAGTGGTGCAGCTGGACAGATGGAACCTTCTAGTGGAGAAAAGCTCTGCACAACAAGAAGAGGGAAGTCAGAAGGTGAGTTAATATTAGACAGCTCCAGTAATATCAATATGCTATACTACACTGTGCTGTGTTGACAGTGAAAATGTTTACTTTGTTATGATTGGAATCTGTACCTATTTTTGTATCTTTTTTGTATAGTTGCCACTCAATGTTTTTAACAACTACTTCAGTTTGGGGTTTGATGCCCATGTCACGCTTGAATTTCATGAATCCAGAGGTGAATATTTTAAGCAGATTAATTCAGTATGACAATGCAGAAATACCAGATATTAGGGAGACATTTAAATACATTTGGTTTGTCTTGTTTCTCTTGTTTGTCTTGTTTGTCATGTTTCAGAGGCAAATCCAGAAAAGTTTAATAGTCGCTTCCGCAACAAAATGTTCTATGCAGGAGTAAGTATTTCCCCAGAAGCCTTTCTTTCCTTTCTTGCCTTTCTTTCTGTCTTACAATGTTTAAATTCAACAATCCTGAAATGAACAAACATACATGCTACTAAATTTCTACGCCAAATAGTGTTAGAGAAGTGGAAAGCAGAAAGCAGGAGGCTTGAAGGCATGTACATATAAGGTTTTGTTATTCTTGACATAAATTTACTTACACACCATAAGAGATTTTTGACATGCTCAGACATATAGACTATACATATGTACAGCTGAAGTGTGTATTTTTCTGATATTTTGAATGATGGTTTTGTAAGATTTGGATGTTTTCAATATTTATTTTTGTAATTTTTGTTTATGTTCATTACGCAGGCTGCGTTTTCGGATTTTCTGCAGAGAAGCTCCAGGGACCTGTCCAAGCACGTCAGAGTGGTGGTAAGTGTTAACACACTGTTTATCTATCAGTATCGTTTTTCATGTTGACAGACCTGAGTAGTGAACTGGCCCAGTATTTGAGATGCTATATGTGACTTCAGCACCAGAGGCATTGTTTCCCTTAATTAAAAACTGTAATTGACTGAAAACTGTATCTCTCTGTAGACAAACGTTTGACCTTATTCATCATATGTCCTGTTCTTTTCAGTGTGACGGCACAGATTTGACTCCAAAGATTCAAGAGCTGAAATTCCAGTGCATTGTGTTTCTTAACATTCCAAGGTCAGCTCCACATGTCTGGTTTGCTGTTTAATGTTAGTAAAAAGTTGTATATTGTTAGATGTTTTGAATCTTGATTTTTGTTGTTGTCTTCTCAATATTAGGTACTGTGCTGGGACTATGCCCTGGGGTAACACGGGTGATCATCGGGACTTTGAACCTCAGCGACATGATGATGGGTGTATCGAAGTCATTGGTTTCACCATGGCCTCTCTGGTAAAAAAACAAACAAAACAAAACTGATTTATATGTACCAGAAAAGCAAAAAACAAAAACAAACTTTTTTGTCCACCAGGCAGCGTTACAGGTTGGTGGACATGGAGAGAGACTCCACCAGTGCAGAGAGGTTGTCTTAACTACCTACAAAACTGTTCCTGTTCAGGTATGTTTTATTACAACAGTAGTACTGTTATACAATATGTGAAAAGACACCATTCATACAAATATGATTTTATCTGCCTGTGCATCAAGGTGGACGGTGAGCCATGCCGACTGGCACCATCAACTCTGCGTATCAGTCTTCGTAATCAGGCCAACATGGTCCAGAAGAGCAAGAGGCGCACCTCTGTGCCACTACTGAACGAGTGAGTCACGGGTGATTACATCCTCTCACAGGGACTGAGAAATTAGAGAGGAGCTGGTAAAGCCCAGGCCACACTCATGACTCATACAATCTGTTTAGCGGCAGATGACATTCAGCCCTCTCCATATCCTACATCTGCCTTCCAACCACAATCAATGCAAGGATATGGGTCTAATCAAATGAATGAAAACAAAAGGGTATCTCCAGTTGCAATGTGAAATGTAATATGTATCTTGAGGATTGTGGTTTAAAGTATCTTAAGTGAGGAGATGTAGATGAGTGTAGCTCTAGACCCCTTCTCATACGTGTGGCTACTAACAGGCATCTGCCCCATATCTGTGCTGTAGCATTAATTCTTTGTGTGTATCTTTTGTGTATTGTCCAGCAGCCAAAAACCTTTGTCTGCATGTGAGAAAAACTAAAGAGAGAATTAATACTTGCTGTAGCTTCAGTAGCTAGTGCTTTTGCTTGTAAAGCTATGCTATGCTACTGTGCTACCAGTGTGTGTCAACTTACCTCTGGGCTTTTCTCCTTCTGTCCCCTCTTCTGTTTCCCTCTCTCTCTGGATTATTTATTGTTTTTTAAATCCTTTACCCTGATATCTTTGCTATTTATTTCCTTTCCCTTTTCTGTTGTCGTCATGTTTTATTTGTTTGAATTTCTTTGTCATATCTCCTCTTTATATTCATCCTTCTTTCCTCCTCTCCTGTTTCTGCTGTATCTCTGCCTCTCTCTTTCTCTTGTGTGTGTAAATGTGTGTGCGGCTGTAGTATTCAGAAGGTGTGTGCAGCTGATCTGCGCCGCCTCTCTGCTCCCCCCGACTCCTTCTCTGTGTAAGTACCTGAGCCCCCTGTCTGTCTGTGCCTGTCTTTGTGTCTGTATTTGACATGTCTAACAGGGTTCATATCTTCATTACCCATGTTATGGACAGACTACTTTAGTGCAGAAAGTCATAAGTTTAAAACCCAAAACTAGTCTACAGCAAGGTGACCCTATATATACTATATAGGGTCTCCATAGAGATGTTTTTTCTTTTGCTTGGCTTGTTAGCATAGTATAGCATTATTTAGTTATTATTTATTACATTACAGGTTACATGTTTTAATAGCTTAGGAATACTGTGGATCATTCCAGGCAAATCAATAATATCTCTATCATAAGTGGGTGAAGGACTCCCTACACAAAAACTTACACAGTGAGTTTAAATATTTCTGGCAAAAGGTTTTTTAGTTAGATGTGCAACCGATGTAAACGGAATATGTTGAAAAATACCCATTGTTCCTCTGTGTATTTTTTAAATCACCACTCTACTTATAATAAAATGTATATATCAATTTAATAGTACAATTACTAAAATTATCTTGATGACAAAATTTGTTCTTTTGTCGTTCTCATCTATCCCAACGAGAGTAGAAATTGTACCAGTGACTTGTTTTGTATGTGTCACTATGCATGTTGACAATATTGTGTCTAAATGGTATTTAAATTGTGTGTGTATGTGTATGTATTATGTGTATGTACATGTCTATAGTCAGCATGCTGTCCCTGATCGCCTGCGCCTGAGAGTGAATCGAATCAGCCTCCTGGAGTATGACCGACTTCAATACGACAAAGAGCGGCTACGGGACATCTGTAAGGCTCTGTTATACCAAATAATACAGCATCCTGTGTTTCTGTACAAACTGATTATAAATTAATGTGTGTAATTTCCTTCAGCTATCCCAGTTGGCATTGTGGTGGTGAGAGGGGACTGTGACCTGGAGACATGCAGGCTTTACATTGACAGATTGCAAGAGGCAAGTTTGTGTTTTCATGTCAACTGCATCTTTCTCCTTTTCCACGCTTTCTCTACCATTTTTAAGCCAGTGTCCTTTTTATAACTCTTGGCTGTTCATGAGTGGATTAAGCAATGCACCACTAGAGAGCTTTTTATAGCCATGTGTCTCATTTGGGAAATGTCCACTAACCAGGTTAACATCTGTGCAAGTTTGTGATATAAATGCTCCGTCTGTCTGTTAACCTTGAAACCTGTTTGCTGTGCTTTAGGACTTGCACCAGGCGCCACCTACTGGCAACAGAGTGCACTATCAGGTATAATTACTGCAGTTTGATATGAACTGTTGTAGAGATAGCATTTACAAAATATTTTTTTTGTACACGGATGAAGTACATACACTGCAAAACTGTTTATCTGGCAAAGATCACATATATATACCTGTACAGGTAAAATTAAATGTTATGTAATAAGCAATCTCATACTTACTTGTTTTTGTTGAGCCTGACCCTGTTGCCACCAAATGTCTAAAACTGTGCTTTGTTTCCTCATTATCCCATAACTTCCTCCATGTTGCTACTGCTCATTAATAAGAAAAAAAAAAAAAAACAATATCTTTGCATCACTGTGACTTACAGGATGAGAGTCGAGGACTTCCCAGAACCAGTTCAGCCAGTAGACTTTCTCCTAACTGGAGCTTCTTGGATTGTGAGTGATGCTACCTGATTTATGTACACTTTCCTTACCAATTCATTAAATATCTTTTTATTTTTTTATATAAGGTTATTAAGGTTTTTACACAATCACCACTGCATTTTCCCCATCAGTGCAAAATCACAAGATGAACAATCCTTTAATTCTGTTTACTTTATATCTGCAGCTACATCAGCAGATCGTTTTTACCGCATTGACAAAGCTCAGGTAATGCTTGTAATAAAATGCACATAACATTTGATTTTATACTTCGAACTAATTTGAATATGTTGTTGCTACCTGGTTTGCAGGAGCACCTTCACTTTGTAACTGAAATTTGTCAGGACGAGGTGTTTATCTTAGACCATGAGGGGCCCATCTTGAATCAGGGATCGTCATCGGGAATGCCTGATCTTGTGGTGGAGCCTATTGTTGGGTGGGTCCAAAGAAGATATCACTGCAGTGCAATTCTTATGAATAATATAATCCAATATTGTCTGTTGTTTTACGTCTAATTGTCTTTTCAGATCTCCTTTGTCTCCAGAGGAACAAGGTAACACAACACAAACAGAATTACGCAACCAAGCCATAAAAATACTTGACACGGAAATTACTGAAATTATGATTTCATTTCACTGTCATCTTCATTGGTTCTCATAAGTGGAGTGAACCTGACATGCCTCAAGTTTCAGTTTCATTTTGATTGCAGTGGTGTTTAACCTTTTACCTACAATAATAATCTTTGTCTATGGTATAAAGGTTGATGTTCCTTAAATTATCCTTAATTATATTCCTTAAATTAAACACCCAGAGGCTTAATAAAGTGGACTCATGTTGATTTTTACATCAACACATTTGCTGCAACGATCTGTTCAGGTGTAATTTTCTCTTCCCCAGCTGTATGGTGATGACTAAACCTATGACTAGACATTTCACATGGTTATGAGTAATGTGGTTGTATTCATGTTTTAGCAGGTTTTGACTGGTTTGAATAACCCCAGGTCTGTTTCTTTTTTTCTCATTTCAGCATTATTCACAGCTGCTAGTTCTGGGGATCTTTCTATGGTAATTGTAACAACTTTTATAACTGACATGTGACACAGTGTAATACATATGTATAATTATTTATAATATTTTTTATATTATATAATTATTTATGCTATCTACCGTAGATGGCTGTTGTATATGTAGTAATATACTAGTAAGGTTAAATATATAAAATAATGCATTAAATGCAGTTGTATCTGATCACTTTCAGCTGATGGAGTGTGTGCGTAACGGTGTGAGCTTGTTGGTTAGAAACTCTGGAGGCTGCTCAGCTTTGCACATTGCAGCCCAGAATGGACACACAGAACTAGTTACCTTCATTCTACAACAAGGTGAGCATATTGTGTAATATCTGGCAGCAAAATTGCTAAATTAAATTAATATTCTCTTTAAATTACTTATTACATTTGATATATTTTTTGTGCTTAGGATCTAAAGTGCTTCTGGATTTAACAGACAGAGAGAGGTAACATTGGTGAAACCCAACTATGCAGTGACATTTGTGACATGTTTTTTAAATCTTGTCATCTTGATTTGTGTTTCTTTGGAAGCAGAGGGGACACTGCCTTGCACAAAGCAGCCTTAGGAAAGCAGCATGCAGTGTGTCGATTACTGGTAGAGGCCGGTGCTTCACTGGACAAAACCAACTTCCAGGTAAACTTCCTGTTCAACAACATAGAACATTTTATTATGTTTCCAGGTGGTTTTACAATACAATATCATACAATCACCAGTGATCCTGAGATACCATTAGCTCTCACATGTTGAGTACACATCACATCAAGGAGAACCATTTTGGGTTTAACTGTAGAGACAAAATGTAAACCAAAGAAACATTTAAGAAAAATATGTTTATTCTTTTATTGTTTATTCTTTTACAATTATGGACTGACATATCCTTTACTCAGTCCAGTGCATACCAGACCATACTTTATTCCTGATACCAATATTGGATCGCTGAATATAGACCACTTCAGGCATGACATTACAGCTACTTGCAAGTAACTGATAAGTACTGACATGTTGTGCTACAGGGGAAAACACCAGCGGACCAAGCAGAAGGCGACTCTGAGCTTGCCACCTATCTGAGCGGTCAGAAACTCACATCACCCGCTCCCAAAGAAGACCTGGAGACTGCTGTCTGAGAACTCTATTTGTGTCTATGGACTCTGGGCACAACCACTGTGTCAAAGCTGAGAGCAAGCACTGTCCTCACTACACGGGGCAGATCACTATGGCAACACTGCAATGGAGTTTATTGACTATTTATTTGTACTTATTTATTCATGTTCTATTTATTGTTATAACGAGTGGTTGATTGTAGGACTGTTCACAGTTCGGGATGCAAGTGCACTTTGACCCTGCTGTCCCAGAATTCCCTTATCTTATTAGAGATGAATTTATATTATAACATATTCTAATTTTGAAAGGGATCAGACCTTGGAATCCAACAGAACGGTTTGTTTTTACAACAAAAATATTTTAGGCAGGGTAATATGACCTGTTCAGTTAAAAAATAAAAAGTATATTTGCTAACCTATATAAGTGCCAAAGACATTGCACTGATGTACTGTCATACCATATCACTGTCCTTTTTATTTATTTTTCCTAGTCTGTGCAATTATTAAGTGAAATACTACCATTCAACATTAGAATTAACTGTATTATACAAAAGGCTTTACTTGTGCAGAATATGAAAGATGATTTAGCTTCCAATTCTTCTTGCTTGCTTGCTTGTATTTACCACAAGGCATTCAGTCCCCTATATTTTGCACACATTTTAGATATAACACAAGAAGTTAGCCTTAGTATAATGTAATGAACATAAATTACATAATGGCAATTAGGTAAGCAGGGTAAGTATATGAGTAGAAGTAGCATTAAAGCATTTAATATTCATCTAGCTTTTATTCAATTTCACATTCCTGTCGAGCTACCATTGTTTTGTAATCAGATGCACTGACTACAGAAGAGAGCAGGGTCATCACTCCAGTTGACTAATGGTAATTCTGTGTGCATTTAAGCATATCCATTATTTGAGGACTGCTGACTTAACATTTTCCTGTGTGTTATCAAATGGCCAACCATATCTACAATGGAAAAGTCTTGTTCACTCTGTGCAACACATTAAGTGTATTTAAGTATAATTAAGTGTATTTTTATTTGTACATACTATATGTTGGAGGCATTTATTTCAAAGTGAGAAAAGAATCTGAGCCATACTCAATGCAATATGAATGGACTAGGCCTTTTTTTCTTTGTTTACATTACATTAATGTTTTACTTATGTTAAATGTTGACCATTTAGCACTAATGTGTATTGAATGTGCAATTTTACTTACATGCTGATGTATGATTGATTTGTTTTGTGTGCATGTTATGTTTTATTGACCTCTCAAACAAGATTTATTTTGGCTAAATTTTATGTTGGCAACATTGTTGGAGAATAATCTCTGTGCATCTGAGAGATCTGAACAGACAGATGTTGCAATTTAAGCCAGTAACAAAAGACACAATTATTCTAATGGATTTGCCCCACTGGAAACTATAGGCCTTTTAATTTTAGCTTTGTGTTTTCTATTTCAGTCAGTATCTTCCTTTGTGTTTGAAATGCACCAAATGTGTGAATCTGCACTCAATGAAGAACAAAACATCTGTATGTAAGCTTTTGTGAACTATATGCTCATCACTCTTTCAAACATAACTTACTGTATTGGTTTGTGTCGTCAATAGAGTTGGTTTTGCATGGCATTTTATTACCTCCTTCAGAGGTCCCTCTGAAGTATGACATTAATGTTGTTTTAACTATTAATCAAATCTGAGTTCAATGGTTTATAACTGATAGTTGTCTTAGTTTTGAAAAGTGTTTTATTTTGGCCATTCTTGTCTTATATTTTCGTTGATGATGACAAAATTACTTGAACTATGTTGTTATATTTTCTTAACTTGTAAATGAACATGTGATGCTGTTGTTGTGGCTCTGGTCTATTTTTATAGCTTAATTTCATGGTTGGGATGACGTAAGATATCATAAAAAATTGGCCTCCTTCAAATGTAGAATTACATCTTAATGTAAAATAACTAACAAACATAGTACTTAGTTAATCATTGTTGTCTGCCATTTAATTTCAGCTGTAAGAAAAAGGTTAAAAAAAGATATCACTGTGTATTTGGGAGACCAATATTTCAATTTCCTTAAGAAATATTAGTTAAAATGGAGATCCATTCTAAATCTTTATACAGTGGACATTTTTCTGTAAAGTTTCTTTGTGTATAGTTTGAATTCTTGTGCGATGTATCATGAAGGTAACATAGACTTGAGAGATCTGACAGGCAGCTGTAAAGTTAAATATAACTGAAACTACAAACAGTCCCATTGGGAAATTTCCACATTTTTTCATCAGCTCAGTACACACTTATTCAAGTGGGTTCGCTGCACTGAAAACTGTTTTTGTGGACTATATGCTGAATATGACTGGGTTCATATCTAAGGTGGGCTTCAGACAGAAAAAGCTTTCAGTCCAAATGTTAGAATTTTTTTCCCTCTAAATTTTCTCAAATAGGACACATTTTATGAAATATGGGAGCAATTTAATTAATACACTTTTTTATGATCTAACCCAAAACATTACCCCATACGCTCCCTTAGGCAAAATTTTATCTTTGTTTCAGTAAGCTACATTGTGCTCTCTTTTATATACATCTACAAAATCAACAAGAAAGTTGCACGTATTTTCCTCCCTTTTTAACTGTATTGATCGGAAAAAACTTTCCCCTAAAAATAAATTAGTCTGATTCTTGATTAAGCTATGGAAAAATAAGCCTTCAACTTCAAAACCTTTTACAGCCTTTACTGTTACATAGGCACGCCCATATGTTACACAACACGGGAAAAGTTCAGTGGCAAACAAGTGACTAAGGAAGTAGTTGATAAGTTTATAAGTGTAGCTGCAATTACTGTAGCCTGACATAAAAGTATTCAGATTGGGCGGATTACGTTGGTGTTGCGTTTGCGCAGATGGGCGTCTGTGGGCGGGGCACCGGGGCACAAGAGCGCACAGCTGATCTTAAGTTGTACTGTCCTCAGAAAACGAAAGATAAGGGAAATACTAACGGCTCAGCGGTAACCTGCCCACGATTATTTTGAACGTAAGTTAACTTTTATTTCTTTTAACTTTTATTTACTTTAATTGTATCGAGCATTTTATGGGTATTCAAAACAAGACTAGAAAGGGCGTTTTGTTTGTCGGTGTAGTCGAAGTTGATCGCCGATTTAGCTGTGTCACTATAAAAGTTTCTAAATAAAGACAGTTTGGCTTGTTTAGCCAGTTATAAAGATTTTTGTTCACGTAATAGAGTAATTTTGAATAGTAGCGTGGTGGGAGAGGGCAGAATGAACAGCTCAACAGGTAGCCTATTGAGCGAAACTAAAGGGCATGTCCCAACTCATCCCAGAGCTTGTACATTACCACTAGGTGTCATAAAAACACCATAAATGTCTCTCAGAATGTTCTTCGTCAAAGTTGTAAAATAAATTAGTTGTATGCAGAGCAGGGGCGGGGCATGTTGACAACGAAATGTTTTCTCAATATTCATAAATGTTTGTTTGTTGTTTTTGTGTTTTTCCGTACAAATAATGACCATGCCTATGATACACCTGTTGACCCCTCCTCCTCTTGGCTACCAACAGTGAAAGATGGCTAATGGACATGTGGAAATCCATGACCTCTTCAGTGGCCAAAATGGGATCACCAGCAGCACAGAGTCTAAGAAGTACACATCCTGCTTAGAGAGCTCTGAAGACATGGTGGAGTTTCGGATCCTTATGGCCTATGCACAGAGGCGGAGACCAAAGGACGCAAGTCAGGAAAATTCAAGTACACCTCATAATAATAATCCGTCAACACAGACTGAAGGGGCCAAGGCTGAGAAGAAGAAAAAGAAGAAGAAGAAGAAGATATTTAAAAAACTCCCCAAAGTCCTGACTTGTTTAAAACCACAGACTAAAGAAGAGATCCCCAGTCCATGTGATGGTGAAAAGGACACAAGCATTCCTTCATTTAGATCTGGTAAGTAGGCCTACTTAAGTTAGCCATGCAATATAGTACAATATTATTTTGAACAAAATATTGACAGAATATTAATTAATTTTCCAGGATGGCTGCAAAAAGAGGATTTTGAAGATTGCAAGATTGCAATTCGACTGGCAGAAATCTCTGATGAAATCCCATTTGTTCCTCCAGACATAGAAAGTGATGCTCCGGAGGGTGAGCTATTTCACAAGATTTAACCCAAATATCAATTATGCATTGTTGTTATGTAAATATGAACTTAAGCTGTGGAAGTTCATGTGATTTAATATGTGACTTGGCGTATTGGTATCACAGTGGTTTTCTCCCCACACGGACAATGTTGATGTGACATTATATTTTAAACTGCCCATAGTTTTTAATAAAGATGGGCACGTCAGAATTCTCTGATAGAATTTGCTGTCTAATTGCAGTTTTGACCTGGTTTATGGTTATTTCTTTATAATTACTGGCCTATCTATATAAAACAAAATACTGTTATAATGTGTAATGTCCTCTCAGTGACCACAACCTTACTTTCACAATTGCTTCAAAAAGTTACAGTATTGACTACTGCACTTCATTTGATATTTTTCGTTTGTTGTTTTTCTTGTTCTTTGTTATTCTTTAGGAAAACTTGTTTTAAGATAAAATTGGTTTTGTTACTAATGTAAATTATTTTTGCTAGATGAAGTGGAGAAAGTAATTGGCTTGATTCTGCGGGATGCTGGAGACAGATTGTATGAGAAGGTATGATGCACTTACCATCATCTTAAATTGACATTTACTGTGTGAAGGTCATTCATTTATTTTATTTATTATGAACAGGAACTGAAAGACAAAAACATTGTTGACCTCCTGGGAAACTATAGCTTTTTTGAAAACGTAATATTATCCCTCCTTAAAAGAATGGGCCTCAGTACTAACACTGAAAGTCTTGGTCCAAAAGTGTCGCCCAAAACACAAATAGCTGTCGCTTGTGAGGTAGGAAAAATGCAGAATATGTTGTAATAACTTGTCAACTGTGGTATTTTACTTAAATGTTTTGTCACTAACAGGCCACCACTCGTTTGTCTGTTTTGGACACATTGCCGATGAACCGGCTGCTGGGCCATGGAGCCAGATTCTTAAAGACTCACTTTTCATCATGGGCAGAGCAACAGGGCGGTTATGTATGTGAACATACACCCCAAACTTTAAAATAATTTCGACTACTTTTACTAAATATTGTATTTATTCATTGTTTTCAGGAGAAAGCTTTTTACAGTCAAGAAGATGATGATGTCTGTTGACCCCTAATGATGCGTTGTGTTCATATTTGAACCTCCCTTCATCCAACTCATGGAACCACCGTTCTGCTCTTGAGAGAACTTGATCTGAACTTTTAGTTTAAATTAAAAATATGTAGTGTGCCTCAGTTGCCGTATGCCCAGCGACTGAGGCACACTACATATTTTTTTATTTTTTGTATATTTATGTTTACAATTTGATCACAGATCAGACAGTGCCATAACCTGTATTAGCGTATTGAATCAAGAGCGTTCAATTGAACGTTCAAGGAACTAATAGGAAGAGACTATGCAAATGAAAAACTTTACTTTCTATGGTTTAAATTTGTCTTCACTTGTCAGCACTTTTTACTTTTTTTCCCCTCTGATATAAAAGGCTTATAAAATGAAGATTATAATATTACCATGTAATAAAAAATTAAAAAATCATCAACAGTACCCTATGGTGAATGTTTTCGATTTGCAGTAGGCCCAGATGCTGCACTGGTAGCATATGATCGTGTTTCAGTAATCCAACAAAGGTCAGACACCAAATAACTGTGACTAAAATTATAAAATGTTTATGTCAGTATAATACAGACTGTGTGGGTACAATGTGTACAATGGGTAAAATTCAGTAAGCAAGAATGACTTATTAATTACAGGGGATACTTATTACATTTGTCACTGAGGGACAGAAGGACAGGAGGACATTGGACAAACTGCTTTCCGTCGTACGCACTCCTGTTCACCCTCTACACCAGACTATAGGAGCACAGAGGAGCCTAACAGGCTCTGCTCAAACAGTGAGATATACAGAACTAGATTCTTACCATACTCCATACAACTATACAACTGTACAACTCCCCCTGTGTAGCTATTATTGTATTTCTATATTTAATTTCTGTGACGCTGTTTAAATCCAGGCTCAAAACATTTCTGTTTAACTGTGCATATAACTTAAAGGTTTTCATTCCGCACTCTTCTCTCCAATTTATGTCTCTCTTTTTAATTTTAATCTTCATGATTATTTATGTTTTGATTTCTTTTTATTATGATTTTAATGTATTTCTTATTCTGTAAAGCACTTTGAATTACTTTGTGTACTTGTGCTATACAAATAAACTTGCCTTGCCTTGCCTAATTTTTAGTTGTACTTATAGATTTATATACTATGCCTTACTTGACACCAGTCACTTGCTTTTTGTGATTTCTTGAAATTATTACCATTTCTATTTTTGCTCTTTGTTGTTATAATATATTATGATGTGTGATCTGCTGTGTCTAAAGTCTAAGAGACACTTAAAAGTTAATGAACATCATTTTTCATTGTAGAATATCTTGTGCTTTTTGTGCATCTCCACTGGTGAAATCAGATATCGCATTCCTGTATACGTCGGACTGTGCGCAGGTGATAAAGTGATAAAATGAGACCAAACCCGTTTTCTGCAGGCTTCTTCAGGCACTGAAGACTCACTCCAGCTCACTACAACAACAAATGGAGTGTCAAGTCTTCAAGGCTCAGAGCTTTACTGACTCACAGTTGACGTAGAAGAGTAGCCTGCGTAATGTTTAACGTAGTGCACCAAGGTCGGAAATGCGTGCCCCGTGCTTCGCTGTCCGTTGACGCCCCGTTAGGTGTGCACGCGGTAAACATAACCAGCCGCGCGACTGTCAAAGAGGCACCAGAGGGAACGTGGCCTCCACCGGATCCCAAAATGCGCGTGTCCAAGGACGGTAAAGCGGGCGTCGCGAGGGTTGTACGGAGACATCTGTCTCCTCAGTCCAAAAGTCTGGACATCTTGGAGTGGCATCAGAAGGGCCAGTCAGAGAGGACAGATCAAGACACTTTATTTAGTCCAACGGAGCACAAACACAGGGCAGGGGCACAGAGAGAAGTCACAGACGGACACGATGTAGGTCCAGCGGGAGGACCACCGAGAAACCGGAAAAAGGGCTTCAGACCCCCGGACGTGAGGACCATCTTCACCGAGGAGAGAGACCCCCGAGTCAAAGAGGAGTCCGGAGAGGGGCATGTGTTCGGGCCCAGTGACGGGGGCGCCTGGTGTGATGTTTGCTGCCAGTACATCATCCAACAAGGACTTACCTGTGCAGGTGAGTGTGAACCATTGGCCCATTAGTCTCAGGCAGAAGTGACTAGAGTAGGCTGTACTGAACAATGAATAACATTAGGCCTAGTTCTCTTTTTATGTTCTATTTTATACAGGTGCCATTAACTACACTTCTGCAATGATATAGTCTAGTAAGTTTAAAGGTGGTAATTTTGTCAACTGGAATGGGCATCATGTCAGAGTTGTCTTACAAATAGGACTCACACATGTGATGAGGAAATTGATACAGACAGATAAACCATTTGCATGAGTAGCTTGCTGTCCTGTGGAACAACCCCAGCCTACTGTAGCCTACGGTAAAAAGGTGATTATTTTAAAAGGCATGGCTCTGAAATGCAGAAGGCATGCTGTTGGTATGTGGACAAGCAGGTCTGTGTTTAGGAGTTGACAAGGAAACCAGTGCATTGTATCAATGGCCCTCCTCCTGATCACTCCTCCTTAGAGATGAACAATGACAGGAGCATTCACAGACCAGGCAAGTAGGCGTCATGGTGTTTGGCATCTAACACTGAACCACCTACAAAGATACTGTAACGTCACACACAAAGCCAACTGTTTTATGACTAACTATAGCCTAGATGACAGTTCAGTTTATTCTCAAGCAAAACTACCCATGTTATAGACTAATCTTTTGTTTATTCCAGGGCAATTAACACCTACCACGATGAAATTTAAACAAAGATTGTAAATTATTTTATTGAATTGCACATGAGTCTCCTATAAACCCTTTTCATATAGGTTTCACAACAATAGAACTGCAAATTTCACTCTTACACCACCAATTACAAGACATGACTGCAGTCCTCTTGGGCCTAATTCCTCTTATGTAATAGCCAGTTGCTGTGGTTTAATAGCTACTCAGGAAGCCTCTTGGCTCCTATTGATGTGAACATGGAGTGACCACTCCTCAGAACAAACTCACAGACTTTCAGAGGTGACTTTGCTTTTATCCTTGGGACATGTTTTTACTCCTGGTTCAATTATTAAACACCACAAACAGTTACTTAAGGGCAGCGAGGCACAACATAGAGTTTACTCATTACTTGGTTTCTGAGACAGGGCACCTCTCTCTGGGTTGTCCGGTTACTGGCATGTAGTGTATTGTGTTGGTGTGTATCCTGACACATAGGCCTTCCTGTTGCTGCAAGTAATAATAAAGTAATAATTGATTGAAAGACAACAAACCTTAAACTCCCCAACTCTACCTTACATAATAATCACAAGTTCAAATTTAGTTTTCTGGACATTTTTTTCAGTTGATATCATACTTGAGTCTCTTTGCAAATTATTTAAGTAATAATAAAATGCTGTTGTTGCTTGGCAAGGTATAGACTTTGCCTGCATGAATGTGGTGTGTGAGTGATTGGTGGTGATTGGAGTCTTGCTTTTGTCAGTCTAGCTGTATTGTCAGCTGTATCGTGTATGGCAAAATACACATTTGAAGACATTACAAGAATAATGATTAAAAAATAGATATAAATATTGATATGCTGCTATAAAAATCACTTCTACTAAATGACATAGACATAAATATATACTGCACACAACTTCTTACAAATCGTAATTGCTTATTTGATTAAAATCACGGCTTAGATAATGAGACTGATTTATGTCTGCTGACAGAGGACAGTCTCTATGTGAGTCCTGTGCCCAGTGCAGTGTGTCAGCTGCCCTCTCTGTTTGTTCAGAGGCTCTGACAGTTTGTCACCAAAAGACACAAAATACCCTGTACTGCCCATCACACTCACAATGAGGGTCAAAGCTCACAAGGGCAGCTACTCTCTAGACTGAAGCTGGGGACATTATGGACATGTACAACCAAGAAGACTATTGTGTGAATATCGGACTTATACTAAGTGGTTTTTGGGTATAGGTTTAAATATTGGCACAGGAGGTGATTAATGTCAAGAGAGTGTCAGAATAATGGGCTTTACAAAAGGTTTTGGACGAACTTTGAGAAGGATGTCTGGCTTTTTCTATCGATTTCCAAAACTGATGCGCACCTCCAGGAGAATGCAGCTCAATCTGCTGTGGAGGAATTCTGGTGAGTGACAAAGATGACACTATCTATATAAACCCTGTATATCTCAAATACACTTTCTGAAATGTGGTTTAAACAGCTTTTAGATGTTGTATAATGAGTTCATAGTTCCTGCATATGTACAAACCCTTTTACTTGATAGACACTGTTGAGAAAATATATTCCAAATATGCAAAATTGAATGGAAATAATTTGGATGCAGATTAACTGATAGGAATAAAAGTAAGATAGACATGTAAACATTCCACATATGGTGGTGTAGTTATTGAACTCTAAGTTTTTTGAACATCCACAGTTGCACTTTATTGTTTGTGGACAATCACACCGTCATAACAATGCTTTGTTTACCTTTGTCCTCTGAGAACAAAACATGAAAACTGAAGAGAACAGCCTGCATTTTGGACATTTGTAGCGCTGAGTGGGACACTTCAGCTGTTCAGGGCTCAGACCAAAGGGGGTGTGTTTTAGCAGGTGAACGCTAAAGGAGCTGCAGCCTCATTGTCTGTCTGAGCACTGAGCTCATTTGATTAGATGTTGGGTGCTAAAAGTTTACAACAGTTGAGACAAAATACTCCAGACTAACATAAGAAGGTTCTTGTCTATGACCTGTGACCTTTCTGTATCTGAACAGAGGAGTTTTGAGTGTTTGAGTTGTTTTTATTGCACTGAAAGGGTTTGGGTGCTTGTCTTTATGGAATTGTTCCATTGGCTGTAATCTTCCATAGTATGGCACACAACTGTTTGAAAGCTACCTTCCAAAAAAAAAAAAAAAACCCAATACCTTTTACATGACAAGAGGCTATTCCATCCTGAAAAACTAAGATGGACCCAGTGTACTCAGTACTGACTGGTGACGTACATTTAATTACAGTAAATGGCAAAGCTGAATGCTGAATGGCACATTTTGTCTATATTTAATATGTAGAAATATGTATCAGTGTTTGCTGAAAAGTGATTCTACAATTTAAAACATTAGGCTTATGGTGTTTAATAGGTCTATTACAGGGACACAGGAAGATCTATTTGTTATTTTTGCTCTGTTTTTATAATGCAGGATTTTTTTTGTGGCTGCCAGAGCAGACAGATGACCAGAGTTAAATACACAATGAAATCCCTACAAATTACAGGATGAGAGTAACACACATTAGAGTTAGAGAGAGGGAGAGAAAGAGAAAGAGAGAGAGAGAGAAAGAGAGAGAGAGAGAGAGAGAGAGAGAGAGAGAGAGACACTGAGTCAGCAATCTCCCTCCACTGTGCACTGTCCACCAACCATCTAATGTATGACCACCTCGATGGCCTCCATTTGACTGTCAAATCACTAACACTCAGCACAATAACACAAGCGTAAGCGATACAAGCAGACAGGGAGCTTGGGCACTAAGTAAATTAGCATCCAATGAGAATAACAAGTCAAAGAAACAAGGCCAAAACAATAACAATGGACCAGTGAGGCAGAGCTGGGTAGTATAGATGGGTGTCGCTATGTGCAAACTGTCAGACAAACTCGAGCAGCAGGTGATGAGAGGGAGGCCAGCAGGTAAGAGCACAGAGTCTGTACTCTACTAAGTAGTTTTGAGTCGTTCTATTTTATTAATTTTTACTATTGTTTATTATTTATTTTATAGGTTTGTGATCATATAAATGCAGAAAAAGAAAATGCCTCTGAAAATTGTCCAATGTGCTTTTCATGGTTGTAGTTACTTTACAGAAATTATGAAAAAAAAAAATCTAACATGTGAAAAAAATGACCATCTTGACATTTTCTAGCAAATACATTTTCTCAATATATAGTTTGTCAAACTATTTATATAATTTAAATAAGTTTTAGATTGTTACCAATCAAAAGGTTACTCTCATTATTTCTGATCATGTTGATTTTATATTTTGCAGCATCTAACACTGAAAAGACAATATTGATTTAAGTAATTTGACAGAATTATTGTATTTGGCTATTTTTCCTTTCCATTGTACTTTTATACCATGTAGTACATGAGATTGTGAGATCATGATATCAAGTGTTTATTTGCATATACGTTACAACCACCACAACCAGTCCATGTGTCCTGCTCTTTGTAATGATCATGTCCCATGGTTTTTCTCTGCAGGTTGTAAATATGCCTGTCACACCACTTGTCGAGATCAAGTGTCTTTGGACTGTAACCCTGTGGCTTTCAGCCCGGACCACGTCAACAACAACAACACACCACTGCATGTGAGTACAGCAAGAAAACATAAATACATATACACAGTATAACGTATCATATTTATCTCGTCAACTAAAGGCCATCTATAAAATATCCATAAGTATTGTAATACTCTGTACTCTAGTGATGAGAAAGGGAGAAAAACGATTCATTCTCTTATTTGACCAATAGGGGGCAGTAAAGTCACATATTTATGCTGATTATCTCTCGCTTGAAGAGATTCCAATGGAGGGAGTTTCCTATTATGCATAATTTCTGACTCTTTGAAATGTGACCAATATATTGAAAAGTAACTTGGTAAATGTGTGAAACGTGGTTTAATATCCTATAGCTCCATTGCTGTTTGCCTTGTATGTGATCTTGAAGTCAAAGTGGTTGTGTGTATGATCACGTACAGATACATATGTATGATCACCATGTTACTAGGTCTTTAAAATTAGTATATTCTACTATTGTTAGTGCATATGCATTTTAAATATGCATTAAGACACCTGCTTTTGAATGCACTGAAACACACAGTCTGAACTCTCAGTTTGGTTAAAGATTTTGTGGTATTGGTTGTAATATTTTATGGACTGCTGAATTAAACCTCTTTCCACTCAGCGCTGTGGTTTCCCTGTTTAACATGTACAGGATTTGTTCAGCACATTTTAGGCTGTGCAGAGTAGTGCTGACTTTTTTGGGGATTTGCTGAATATCCATTATGAGAATATGGAATATAATTTATAGACTGATACAACATGCTTTGCTGATAGTCATCTGCAGAGCACGAAAGTACAGAAAAATAAAATCTATAGGAAATTAGAATGTTGTGTCGTTGTTTAGACAATTGGAATGAAATTGTCTTATTAAAACATCATCATGCTGAATAATAGTAAAATGGAAATTCTCTTTTTTGTTGCTTGTGTGAAACAATTTGAGGACCGTACTGCATTGGACTTCATAAAAACAATGATAATTTTCTAGACTGAATTACCAATATTGTGTTTAAACCTTAAATGTTACTTACTAATGTAGTTACTTTCAATTATCAGTACTGCTTATCTTTATTATATTACTGTATGTACATACTGTTAGATTGATGCTAACCGTCTCTCAGCAATGTGGTGTGACTGTGGGTAAAAGTGAGTAATGTGCATAGGGCTGTCAACACCATGTGATTTACACACACCTGTGACACTGCAGCATCTAGGACCACAGGCACACAGCCAGGGCATCAGGTTCAGTTACCCTGCTGTTGAAATGAGAGGGGACAGGCAGACAGGGAGACAGACAGCTCAGGGATCTGTCTCTGAAATATACTTAGTCTTTACATTCTTGGCCTAAGAGACATCAGCATCCCCTTAACAACTAAGATTGATATAGCCTATCCCTATAACATTTTCAGTGTCATTTTCAGACAGTGTCATTAATACTGCAATGTACAGATCCTTATTGTTAATTTGCTATATCGTGGATACTCTGTTGCTAAAAATAGGAGCACAGTGTTGGAAAATGTTCTTGGTATAATGTTGAGAGCTTGTAAAAGTATCCGTTAAGTGCTATTTTTAGATTATAGTTTCAAATTTAGTCTTATTATCATATCCATATATTCCCTATATCGTAAACAGTCCACATCTCATGAAGAAGCATGTACAGTAGAACTAGTTCAAATGACCATTATTTTCTTTCTCCCTGTATCCCTATGTGAGCATGTTACAAAATGCAAACCTGTATCTTTTGTGTTGTTTCCTCCCTGCTATCACAGCAGTTATAGTTTTGTTCATGTTGACAGCACTGACACAAGTACTGATAAATGAAACCCTGTATGACCCCTTGTGTTAATAAGGTAATTAAAAAGCCAAAGAAAACTCATGAACATTCTTCTCAATCCAGACCATGTTGATTTTCCCTCCCTGTGCTTTGTGCTAAAACCTGTGTTTGTCTTTCCCAGTGAACAGGAAGTGAGGGCCGCAGTAAGTGCCTCATCTCTGTAAGTCATTGACAGACAGTTCTTGAAACTAAATGGACGAGAGCTAGCTTAGTTTATCCCAGCTATTACTTTTTTGAAATTTTTTAAATAATGCATTGTAGTGAAGTCATATTTAGTTTAATATTAAATAACTTTTGACTCATTCTCATGCATTTACAATTTTATTGATCAAACAGTGCATTTGTATTGCCATATAATATATTATCAGACTTTATAAAACCCAACTGGCTAGAATAGCAAGTTGACATTGGCAAGGGACTGACATTAAAAGCTCAAGATATTACATTTTAAAAGTTAGAAGAATGTTAATGCATTTTCCCTCCAGGTTTTACGTTACTCAATAAAAGACACTGGCCCAGTTACTGATGGGGCGGGGACCGCAGAGGTGCACTTTTTCCCACAAATACAAACACGAGAAACCCACCATAAAGGGCTTTACGTGGTTGTATACAGTTGCATGTTACAATTAGCCTCCTCTTTCCCAGAGTAAAGGGTATTCCTCTCACTTTGTTGACTATATAAAGTGTCTATTTAAAAAGTAATTTATTGTTTTTAAAGTGTCTATGTCTATTTGCTTTTTGCAGAAAGTTTTCCTAATTTTACACCTTAATCCAGGCTTCTGGATAAATCTCAACAAGATTTTCTAATCTGGGTGTTTAACTTTCAGTTGAAATACAAGGTCTACTTAGTATTAACTTTTCTCAGCAGGAAATATCTTTGGCAGAAAGATTAGTCAAAGTGAGATTCAGCATAAAAACAACAGCCAACACCTGCTACTAAATTATTTGCATTGGAACTGTTTAATGTTATGTCATACCTACAAACCACAGCCCACAAGGTTCATCCTTGTCTTTCATACAAAAATCTTCTAGATATACATTTTAAACTATTGAAATATTCAAGGAATATATTTTTGTGAACACACCACTACCCCCATATCCTAAACCTTATGTGCCTCTTAATCCAGCTGCATTGTCTACTCATTTTACTATAGCCTACAAGAAGGAGGCTAAAACCCACTGATATGAGCTGGGGTAGAGCAAGTTCACAGTGTTAATAAGTGTATATCATAGCGATTGTAGATCTCATTGTAGATTTTAAAGAACAAATAGAAATTCACTTAAATTTTGAACATTCACCTTCTTTTAAACATGCAACAATACACAGCAGAGGTAATAGCAGAGGTAATGCAAGATACAGTACAAGTCAGATACCTGTTCTACAAAAACAATAAAGAATACAATTTATTTACTGATTTACAAAACAGACTCACTCCTAATCCTAATCGTAAAGCCTAAATAAGTGCAAATAATTACATCTCTTCATGTTGTGGCTTGTACTATATTTATTGTTACAGTCAAACCCAGAGCCGGATGAGCTGCAGCAGTGAGTTACAGTGTAATCTTTGTGGATTGTCTGGGATTAACTGGTCAGACCAAAGACAAAAGCTCCTCCCGCATCAGTCATGTGTGTGTATGTGCCTTATATACTGGACATGAGCCAACAGCTTAGACCCACCAACGTGTTGTCATCATCTCCAATGTAGTCTGTGGCATGTCCCAACTAGACCAGAGTGAACAGGGTTGGCTTATTCACAATGTATGCTTGTATATTTGTGCCTACCAATGACTGTTTACACCCCTATCTTTCACCATATCAAATGTATGTTATGATAATTGTAAGAAGAAAAGGCAGAATACATTTTATTATTATTCATGGTTATCAGCATCAAGACCACACATCCCTACTCCTGTCCCACATTTTATAAAAAACATTCTGTGTAATACATTTGTGTGTAGGATGTTAATCTTAGGTAAAAAGGATGTTTTATAGCTGGAGTCGTTTCTGTGTGTAGATATGGGCAGGTTCAAATCAAAACACGGATGCTTATCATGGAAATAGGCTGTGTAGGTTATTTGTGTTGCACTTATCTTGGATCCTGTCGTTATCCCACCCCATCAGCTTCAGATAGGGGCTGCCCTGGATATGAGCTCACTGTACAATCTACACTATTCATAATGTTTCACAGAAGTGTCTTGGCAGGCCATAGAAAACCTAATATGAGCTGCCGACAGACCTCAAATTGTAACTTGTGTTGAACCAAAATACAGCACTGCACATATTGACAGAATGTGTTGCTTTTTAATAAAACTCCAACTCACTTAAGCCGCTCAAAATTTATGTTAGAGTTCAGGCACTCTATAAAGACGGGGTTGAGCAAAGAGGTTAAGTTGGCAGTGTAAAGTGATCCCTATGGGCCAGTAAGTCTTACAAATGTGTACGCATGAATGAGTGTTTTGGTCTAATAATAGTTTGACTACTTAATAGAATATGAACTTTAAGAGCTTTGGGTATCTTGGAAGTATTTTTTTATAAATCCAGTGTTTTTTTGTTGTTTTTTAAAGTACTTGTAGGTATAATTTGCAAAGTTACACATCTGAAAGTAAAAGTTATGATTAGACATTGTTAATTAAACCCCTTGATTTATGAAGTATTAGGGTAAAGTAGACCAAACTAGAATCATGAGTTGCTTTCAGATTACAGTAAAGCCACAGCCCAAATATTGTGTGTGTAACCAATATTTTTAAATCTATTACAATGAGCGCACTTGTAGTAAAGTTGAAGTAGACTTCACAAATTAACACTCACAAAATGTATTTATTTGGGGCATACAACTATTCCCATTTAAAGAAGTCAGTACTCATGTATTTACAAGGTTACGGTTTGTTAAGGTCAAACAAACTAATGACACGAAGACTGTGGAAGCTAAGAAAAGAAGAATATCAGCTCCATAAATTTGGGATACTGATACATGAAAAACAAAGAAACTGCATTTTGATCCATATAGATATTAGCATAATAGCATAATATTGTATTTCCCTATCTTGTTATCACCATATATTACTCAACTGTGAATTTAACTTCACAATGGTGCTCAGTCTCTGTCAGTCACACTTCATTACATAGTAGTTGCTTTGGCCCAGCTGTGGTCCGGGCCTCACATTCACATGCAAGCCTCTGCCTCTCTTGATTATGTGATACACTAGAATGAAGTGTGTGGACTTTGCCTTCTTCTTTGATCACAAGATCTTCAAGTGTTTTGTCTGTCAAGATGAACTACTGACTCTGGAGGGGGAACAAAGGGTTCAAGGGACACATACACACGCAACAATAAACTTGTTTAATCTAAAAATATAGTCTGTTTACCATATGTTCTGACAATGGCCTGCAGGGAGATACCTTAACAGATTTTTACACTTTGGGGATCAGTTACATTTTCCTATGGCATTTGGTGTGGACATTCATCATGTGCAAGTCGTACCCCAAAAGACTGCTTCATTACAGTCATTTCCTGATTCTAATTTTCTTTAAAAGCAGAACTGAGCCGTCTAATCTTCAGATATTCAAATTTTCAAATGAGCAAATTACTAAACTCAAAAGTTAGGATTTGCTGACATATTTGTAAAAAGTCAAGAAATTCATCAAGTCATTTACATTCTTCATCATAGAAGAGAGCTAATTATACAGTGAGCAATGAAAAATGTGCATAGTTTTGCCATAGCATTTAACAATTTTGAATGGTTAAAGGTACTCAAAGTAGCACCTATAAATTGGAAGCTGAAAATCATGCATAATAATAATAATTGTTATGTAACTACACAAAATGACCACAAAAAAGGCAAAACATTTTCAGAGTTTGCAGTATGTACAATAATGGGTTTCTCACATGTCTGACACCATCTTTCTTTTGGTTTACATCATTAACATAAGTCAACCCCATCGGACATGTCTTTCTAAATTAGACTAAACTGGTTTCGTGAGCAGCCCCCACCCCACTTTCAAACACACACCTGGCCATGCATTACTTTTTACACACTCATATGTTTTGTTTCGGCCCCTCCTCTCACTCCTCTATATCGCTGTCACCTTCTCTGTATTACTGCATCTTTACTGAGTGAGGTCATAGGGGCCCAAAGGGGGAAGAATCAGTGTCTACCTTTTTGTTTCTTTATGAATATGGAACATTTGACCCCTAAGTTAGCTTTTTAGAGTTTACCCTATCCTTTCTCCATGTTTACTATTACTATGACAACATTCTCTCTATTCTAGATGGGATATTTAATGGCTGAATACCTTTCATAGCTCAGCCCTAAAATCATAGCTTTGAGCTAAGTGTTTAGATGTTTTGGAAAGTGCCTCATGCTCTGTAACATCAGTCATAATGAATCGTGAGCTGTTTGTTTAAAGTGCTTAAAAGTGTAACCCAGGCATATTTCCATAATGCCTTTTTAAATGTATATAATATATGCTATTTTCAAGATAGGCAATGTTTTACACATGGACCTACGACTTTAGAGGTTTGTTGTATATTATCTTAAAGCTACCCTCACAGGAATGTAAGTAATGTGTAACGAGAATGGCTTTGGGCCAAAGTGACCAACAGGTTAAGACCACTGACCGTGATCCAAGCCGGTTTACTCTAGGTGGGACTGTCATATGACCTCCTATAGTTTTTGTCAATATGAAGCACTTACTCTTCACAGTTTCACAACAACAACAAAAAAGAAAGAAAGAATATGCCTAAATGACAAAATGCTATTTACTCTTACAGTACTATGTCAACTTGGGATGCCTGACTGCTTATCAGCTGTGTGCTGCAATGTCAGTGGTTCGTGAGAGAGTGGTTTGGCTCTCCCTAATGTAACAAATTTATTTTTAGGTCTCTCTGAAATGTGGCTGGTCTTCAATTTAAACATGTGCTCCTTAACTTGGCCTATAAAGATGCCTTCAGTAAGATCTGAAAGAAATGAATGAACAGGCATGATGCACCCACAATGCTGGCTATAAAGGGTCAATTAAGTATATTTCTGGTAGCACATGTGGGGCCCAGATTAATTTGCTTTAAACATGCACAGTATCCTATAGAGAGCATAACTGCAAGCTATTATATGTATTATAAATGTTTTTTGTTTTTTTTTAATGAAAAAAACTTTCTTCCCAGTATTTATGTGAGGAAAATCATTGGAAGTGGAATCATTAGAGTTATTGATTAATTAATTTTGATGTTAGAGGTATTTAAAGAGTTCTTAAAGTAAAGTATAAGTATAAGTATAAGTATAAGTATAAGTAAAGTATCTTTTTTAAAAAAGTATGATTAAGTTCATAATGTAGGCCACTAACATGCAGTTTACTCTGACTTGTTGCTCCTGTCCCTAGGCTGAACCTGACTCTTGACCCTTTCAAAGCTATGAGGGTAACCTGATTCTGTGCGTTCATGCTTTTGTGGGGTTTACTGTGGTTTGAGGGTGACACTGATACTTGAGGGATAAAGCTAAAGTTACAAATAAATTATGCAAAACACATGGGACAAGCCACACAATTAGAAAGATTTTTAAAAGGGGACAACGGCAAGAAGAGGGTTTTGAAAATAATGTATAGTATGAAGAATGGCTACGATAGACCAAAAGTGGCACCTAAAAATCTGATTGGCTGTGGTCTTTGGGAATCAAACAAGTGCTCCGTTAATGTGTCATTTGTGATTGGTCCGCTGTCTGTTGTGGGCGGGATCACACTGTAGCGACTGTCGCACATTCACATTTGACTATTCATACAACGCTGGGACACCCGCTGAGTTACGGTCATCGTTTGTACTTCTTTTCTTTTATATATTCGATTTTGTTCAGCGCGATTCGACGTGTTATCGAAAGTTACATGGAAAGTTTCCGTTTATTGATTTTATTTAGTATTTATTTGTAAGTCAATGCGGAGGACGGAGGAGGTCAGGGGTTTTGGAGCACAACTTCTCCTCGGAGCGGATTTGAATGAGGAAATCATCCCTTGTGAAACGCTGCGTCCAGTCTGCGGGAGGAAGATCATGGAGGCGTGAGCAGTCGGCTTTTACTGAATATTTTCTCTTTTAACAACTGTCCAGTCTTGAGATTTTTGATGCTGTCGAGTTTGAGACGAGAAGTTTCCTCCGCAAATGACGTGGAATAGCACAATGAGCAGTGGCTACAGCAGCTTAGAGGAGGACTCCGAAGAATACTTTTTCACGGCAAGGACATCGTTCTTTAAGAAACCTACGAGCAAAGTCACTGAGAGCAAGGTACGGGAATATAGAAACAACTTTTATTTTTACTTACTTTTAGTGAGTTTTCAGTCAGTGAGACAAACTAATCGCGTGCTCCATTGAAGTGCGTGGTTGAAGTGAATTTTCCAGCATGAAAAAAGGTTTTGTTGCACTGCATTTTCTAGTGTCATGTGTTATTGTCACAGACAAGCTTATTGTGTCATGCCAATATTCCACTACTGGTGAATTATTTGTATTTATGAACCTATAACAAAGTCTAATCCAGTATGGGGTGTTGACCGTGTTAGCCTATATTTCTTTATTGCACAATAAGAGGTTTGTTTACCACCCCATGTTCATTCAATTTACATAACAGTGTTCATGTTACCTTTAGGACTCCAGTAGGAGATAGCATGACCTCTTTAGTCACTAATTAACTTTGTGCATAGTACCTACCTGCCTGGAATTAAAATGTTTTGAAGTTTCTCCTTTTACACGGGCTACAAATTTGTTTTCCAGGATTTAATTTTGCTCCCTAACTCAAAGAATTGGGTCACTTTTCAGGTTCTTAACTAAATAACCATCCTAGTTATTCACAAACTGAACTACAAACATGCACACAGTGTTTTTGCAGACTGTAGTTCATTCTTTTATGCCCACTTGTTTCTATGCCAACTGGCTATGCATTTGTGTGGGGGTGCTGAGAAGTGGCCAGGCTGCACATTCTACACAGTTGCATGACACTTCACATTTCCACAACAGACTTTTGACGTTTTGCCTGTTAGTGTGTATGATGAGAAGTGGGTGCACAGTGTGCCTATACAGCGGTGCAGGGGAGGTTGTGACCCTTGCTCACAATGGGAGCCTGGGCTGCAGTTTGGTGGTTTCCCACATGCCAGCAGTAATTACAACTAAGAGAGAAGTCTTCACTTTTGGAATATGTGAAGGGCTAAATGAAATTACTGGTTTGGTGATGGGGAAAAAGGGTAAAGGGACAGTTTGTGTGTTCTTGTCACAGCCACAAGTATATTTAAGCAGTTAAAGGACTAGTGTAAAGCAGAAAAATGTTTAGATATTAATAGCACAGAGAGCATCATTTCAAGATAGTGGGAGGTTACTAAAAATTCTTGTGTTTACACCATTATCTTGTTTCATGATCATTACATTCTGACCACTAAATTAACTCGTGGTACAATGTGAGGCACTGAATAGCTTAATGTAGTCCATGCATAATTCTTAATTCCTGGATGTTGACCAATAATTCTCATTAAGATACTCGGCATAAAGCTGAATGCAAACACAAGAATGAAAAAGAGCTGGGATGCTCTGCAAGTCAAATTGAAAACAGGGATTTAACTCCACACATAAGCTGTACTGTCAACCAATGTGGACATAATGTGGGTTGAATGGGGTTTCTGTCAGCAAATGTCACACTGTCCAGTAATGTCCGGAGGTTTAACCCACTCAGCAGTAAGAGCACACAAGACGCTCACAGGACAGCTGGTCTCCAATGCAAACGCTCTTCACATGCTCTACAATCATCAAAGATAATCTTATAGCCTTTTTATTAAGATATCGGCTTGAGATTGTTTGGTCAAATGTTCAACTGAAACATGTAACAGTTTAACCGCTGGTATAACAGGGGGCCTCAGAGTCAAGTACAGCTGTGGTTTTCTGTCACACGGCAGCTTGGTTGCACATTTGAGAATCTGTATTGGTGGCAGTTGGCCCGATAACCAGCTTGTCTCTGGATGCATCTGCTGGTTTGGAAAAACTGAAGTCAGAGCCACCCTTAGAGCCACCCTTACAATGTTGTGTCATGGCTATTTCTTGTGTTATCAAAATTAATAGTAATAATATGACATTTTGACATATGACATTAAAGGTTGTATAGAGGATTTTCCAAGGAACGAGAAATCCAGCGACTGTTTGTCCTTTTTCAACTGTTGCGCATGCGTGAAACCACCCTCCCCTCGCCCACAGCTCCCTATGTAGAAACGCCTCCTCCCTCCTCCTCCTTACGCCAGAAACAGGTTTGTTTACAGCCGGTGCGCTGCACATGACTTGTAAACAACTAACTACAGTGTTGGTTAGGCAAGACGGAGAAGTGAGGAGCGGGGGGAGGGGGTGCGCGGATATTTCGTGCACGGAGAAGAAGTGAGGAGCAGGGAGAAAAACGGAACGGGGAGAGGAGAGGGGAGCGGTGCATAGAGAATAAGTGAGGAGCAGGGGGAAGAGCGGAACGGGCAGCGGGGAGAGGAGCAGGAAAGGGTGCAGAGAGGGGTGCGCGGAGATTCCGTGCGAATGAACTAGCTACTACTACAACACGCAGCAGCAAGTGGACTCTTTCTTTGCCTTGAAAATTATGTTTTCAGACATAGGATATCGCATTCGTGTCCTGAAAAATGTTTGTCTAGCTCTTGGAAATAAAGTAAGTTTTCATAATAAGCAGAAGTTACCTGTCCAGGAGTAATTTGGTGACCAGTGCGTCAGTCTTTAGACCCTTCGTCTGCTTCAGTTGCGCCATCGCTGGAATGAATCTCCAAGAATCACCTTAGTTTGGCTTCGCTGCTTTTCCCCTTGTCTTCTTCTTTCAGTGACCTCAAAAACGGACTTTCTTTTGCAGCGAACTGCTCCTGGATTCTTGTCTGCCATTGCAACAAACTTTGTGCTAACTGCGAGGAAGATATAGGTCAAAAAAGCTGCTAAGAACTGTTGCGTTGATGGAGTAAACAGCGTCTGTGCATCTGTGGACTGTGTGACAGGCGTACGCAAACCACGTAATGGCAGCGCGCAGGCAAGTCAGTTACGCTAGAAACGTAGGGAGTTTGATTGACAGCCTATCAGCTAACAGATAACGAGGCAGTCTCGTTATCTATTGGCAAAGGTTTAGCTGGCCCCACCACGTCCAGAGTTGATGAATTTTTATTCTCTTTTTTTTGGTCATCATAATTACAAGGCTACTGCACCTCTATAATCTATCATTGACAATTTGAAATGAAAAAAAATCCTCCATACACCCTTTAACTTTTCACAATACTGACACATTTTAACGGTTTCTATAATTTCATTTATTTCTTCAAATCACTCTTGCTGCTTACATTTGTGCCTGTAAGTTTTTCAGTTTTTTTTTTTCTTGGTTAAGTGCTCCTTTGCTGTAAATTCCCTGTTCACTGATAGATTTAAAGTGCATTAGACGCTCTTCCAATTCCCAAGAAACCTTGCTACCTTTTAGATTCCACTACATGATAGATGAGGTCATTGTTGATAGTTGCTTATCTGGTTTTCGAATACGATTTTATTTTCTCTCTGAAGGGCAACGATAGACAGACTGGCAGTGATCTACATCTTATCGTTTTTTTTATTTTTTTTTATTCTTCAGTCTCTCTGTAAACTGTTGCTTTGTGGTTAGCAACAGAGTTCTTGGCAGATTTTCACTTGCAATTAAGGTTATAATTTATATAATAACACCTGTGAAATGTACCTTTGACCTGTGCTGACTTGTGTGCACTGAATGTCCTGTGTACAGTGTCAATGAAATAGCAACTGAACTGAACTGAACTGACGTTTAGTATTTCAGGTGAGATATCTGAGTGAGGAGCTTATTAGATTTCCAGGTTAAGAGTGTCTGAACAAGTTTTGTGTGACTTTACTTGAATTTCCTGTTCCACACGTGAGTCTGCACTGTCCCCTCACATTCCTCATCTGTAGATATCCTTCCTCTGTTGTTCCTCACCCTTTTTGTCTTTCTCTTTTCAACCTGGAAGTCACGTCCTGTCTTTCTAGTCCTCCATTCTGTTCAGGCCATCTTGGCTAAATTCAGTATTATGAACATTTAAAAGTTAAACCGCATTTTGTTGAAGGTCTCCCCAATATTTTGGAGCAAATTTTATTCAATTTTTTGATAAATCATTACACTCGATGTTTTGTTTAATGAGTCCTTGATCTGTTCATCGAGCCCTGTATCTTTGACATCTGAAGTTATTGCTTGGTTTTATCCACTCTGTAGACTGTCTGCAGTGTATAAGAGCTAGCCAAAGATAGCCAGAGTATTAGGCCACATGTCCAGATAAAGGTTAAAACCATGACCGTCTGATCCCTGTTTCTCTTAAACGTAGCCATCCGTCTGTAATTACATGGTTCAGCAATTTTTCTGCCACACTGTTATGTGAATAAAAACTCTTTATTTGGCCCCACAGCAAGAAAGCTAGCTGTTTACTTTCTTAAAGTTACTAAGTGGTGTTGATCAAGTTCAAGAAAGGTCAAAAGCTTATGGCATTTTTTAAGTATTGATACTTGTTAAATTGAGTGTTGTTTAGTATCTGATTTTCTATACTTTTGACAACCTTACAATATACTTTCATGGTTCATTTTAGATTGTGCTCCTTGTATGCCCGCAATTATTTTTTTCTTCAAACTGTGTCGTCTACTTCACTTAAGTGCTATACTGTAGAACTTTCCTCCAGTTCACATTTAGCTTTTATGAGATGTTGGCTTCACTTGTTCATTGAAGGACACACAGGCAGATTTGTTGTTTCGTGTGCAGCCAGTTTCTTCAAACAGAACAGAGCGGTTTAGTCCAGGGCTGTGGGCTGTGTTGTATAATAAGATAAATGTGTCTTTGAACAGCAGCTCTACCTGCGTCATGGAGAGTGTGAGGTGGTGGTGAGTGCAGTGAAAAAAGCCTAAGTGCACTTGTTGTGGGCATAATAGAATATTGACATAATAATGGCAGGTATGTTCTCTTTGCCACATTTTGTTTATTGATTTAGAGTCATGTAATTATTATAATTTATTTGTAATTAATTTTATTGTCATCTTGGTTAATTTCAGAGCTAGTGGTAAGTATTGTAGCTGAAGATTATTGTAGTACACCTAATTATAATACTTAATATTTACATTGCAACCAGTAAATATGCTGCCAGTATTACTGGCAATATGGATGGAGCTAAAAAAAAAAAAAGGTCTTCACTCACTATTGCAATGTTGTCTGAGTTTATTATCAAACTGTTGACAGTGACAGTTTTCTTTGCTCT